TGTCAAACTCATGGTGCATCCAAGGTAGGTACGAATGTGTAAGATGGACAGTAAATGAGCTTAATATAGTGGAGGGAAACTGAACCTCTATGATCAACGCAGGGTACACAGTGGAACTGCGCATACACAAGTATTTAACCTAACACGAAATGAAAACAAAAACTCCACTGCTGTCGATTCGCTTCATTGTTCTTCACTATTTCCAATTTCTGGGGCCTCAACCCAGAAAAAAGGAGGAAGCAATCTACTTAATCTTTTCGTCATTTTGGTCTCGTTTTTACACACGAAAGCCTCTCCAGGTACGAGAATCAACCCGACATAGACAACTAGTGATCACGTTGTTTCAAAGCAGAGGTACTCGATATCATCTTGCAACTTCACGTAGCACGCAGAAGTATAAATTGTTGGCCGAATTACGCAACAGAACTTGTTAGACCGTCAAGTGTATTCCATACATTTGCATAGATGGAGGATGTAGTCGGCATATTTTCCCTCTATCTCTCCATGTCGCGTAAACATTTTGGAGGCCGCATAGTGCATTCTTCAATATTTTGTCAATGAAGTGAAACAGAAACAGGGAAATAAGACACCATTTAAATATACGCCTTCTGGTGTTAAACGATCTGCTTTGCTCGCCATAGACCCTTACTCGACCAGAAATGCGCCTGCATATCTACTTTTAGCAAAATTCGAGTCAGATTATACAAAGATGTCAAATCGAGTGTGAACCCACTGATCCGCTTCTTCATAACTTACTGGAGCGATTCACAAAAAATAATAACTAGCAGTATGATATCGACAGCAGATGCAATAATGTGACCATCAAGTGGGTACAAGCAGAACAAAGTTTGAAATATGAATGTGCACCGGACTGACTGAGTCTTTCTCAAACTGACCTGCCACTCAACAAACGGATCACCAGGCTTGGCTGGCGGCTTCCAACGCATTACCGCCAATTCCATGTGTTTTGCTCCAGACTGCATAACCTCCATCAGTGATTTAACAGCCAACTTCACCGTCCCTGGTTCGTCTGACACTGCTTGCTCATTATAGTTTTTCTCGAGAAATTCACGAGCCACTTTGGAACCCTTGCCAATGGCATTGGCCTGACAAAAATAATTGGTGTTTGTAGGAGGAACACTAACATACCAGCCATTCAAAGTGGGTCCCAGAAGGGTCAGACTGATAAAGGTGAGGCGTGCCATCTTGATTGAATCCAACTATTAGAGTGGCAACACCAAACGGCCTTCGACCATTGCTTTGCGTATATTTTTGTTTCACTTGAGCAGTATATCGAGCTATGTACTCCAATGAGACCGGATCTTCCACCGTCAAACGATAGCTCTTGCACTCAACACGCATGCGGTTGATAAGTATTCGTGCATCAGCTGTGAGACCTAGAAAGACAATTCAGCGAGAGATGTATGAACTCACATGAAAAACATCATATAAGCGTCGAATATAACTAGATTAAAAATACAGTTAACCTCTAATCAAAAGCGATCCTTGAGACCGCACTCAGCCCATGGACACAAGAATAGTATTCTAATGGAAACTGTAGTGCACTTAAATGGTGTCACTGTGACTGATAAACCACATTCAATATGTGGATTATCAATGGCTTTTGTCTACTTCTGAATTCGGATTTACGAGGACATTCCGGTTCGAACGCTACTTGCACTTATAGAGCTCACGAATAGACCAACGAATTGCATTTACGCGTTTGTTGGGGGATCAAAGCATTTGGAAATGGAATCTCGCAACAGACATCGACACCGCGGTTACTAAGGAAGCAATACTCACTGCTCTTACATCAGGGGATGTAGCCAGGTAGGTCAACCATTGACAGTTAACCTAAGGGAGTTGGCGAAAAAGACTCGATTCCAAACCAAATAAAAAGAGAGGTACGAATTACATACGCCGGGGTTGTGATAATGAACACTAGCTTGACTGCGCACTGAGATATATTTGGCACCTTGGATCCCGTCTAAATAGCAAATAATTCGATGAACTGGATACCGGTCCGTAATGAAATGCGGCATTTTACTATACACTTTAGTGTGTGAAAAGCAGGACCTGCTGATCATTGATGAAAACCAGTAACTTAAGCTCCGAGACGAACCATATAACGCCCCAAATAATTGGTATTGAACCGGACGACACACTACCCCGCCGTCTTGCCGGTCAGCCTTCGGTTCGCTGAAGGCCCCGATTGTGATCATCATTCATCATCATTGTACAGCGTAAT